GTACTGATTGCATTTGTGTCCCATGGACACACAGGGATGTTAAAAGACCATCCCCTCCCCAACACAGCAGGAGTTTGTGGTCTGACTTAATTACGTGGCTATTTGAATTACAGGAAAAAAAGTTTGTATTATTTGAGTTACAGTGTACAGGTGAATGTAATATATTCATGATAATAAATACATGCTCCTTAGTCTTTGGTGTGCTACGATGCTTCTTTACGGGTTTATAGGTAACAGGATTTAGCAAGAGATGGGCGTTGTTGTTTTACAAAAGTAAAGCAAACAACTGAAGACTTGTGTATAAAGGAATCACTCAGGATCTTTGTTCTCTCAACCTTACAAATTTTGCTCAGTACTTGCTATTTAAATTTAAAGGTAATTGATCAAATTTAAAGGCCTTGATCAAACTGTGCACGTAAACCGTGTCCCATAAACTGTCATTGTGCCAACTCCCTATGAACAGATCATTTTATTACAAACCTGTATGTGCCTGCACAACAAGTAATGGAGCAATCCTAACAATTGTCAATTTCCTTCCTTTCCCCTGTGTAGTGCAACTTTTCTGTGCTGCAAACTATTGCATTTCACATTTTCCTGCCCCCCTTACTATCATGGTTGACCTGCTGCCGTTGAAGGCAAGAGTGATAGCAGAAGAGGAGACCATTTGCACTAGGCTAGCCTTTTCTCCCCTCTGGCCACTGGCATGCAGAGTTAGTCTCATGGGAGGTGGAAATATCTGAGGAACGTCCCAGTAGAGCAGGCTGCTAGGCACTGAGAAATTAAGACACAGGGCTATCTTTTTTGGACGCAATTATGGTAACATCTAGTACCATGCTGAGGGCCCATGAGTGAATCATAAGAAAAGCCTGCTGGATCAGACCACTGGCCCATCTAATCCATAATCCTGTTCTCACAGTGGCTATGGGAAGCTCAAAAGCATCCATTTCAATTAAGCGCAAGAGAATACTGTTAGGTAGGGTGTGTGAGTGTGGGTGTGAGAGAGAACGAGAACACTGGTTAGATCAGACTGCTAAAAGAGAATACTTACTGCAGCCTTAGAAAGTCCTGCTGAACTCACACAGCATTATTGCTGGGCCGCTATGCATGAGGTTGCGCTGTTCATGTTGTCATGAAACACTATGCTGAAAAGCAAAAGGTGCATTTCCACAAGCTTGATTCTTTCACCGAAGAGCAATTACATGCAGCTGGTCTGCTGGAATGAACAGAAATACATTGGAAGAGGAAGGGTGAAACTAACATAATTTATTTGCATTTCTGGGAAACGTTTAATGCTGTATCACATATTAACAAACTGATCTCCAAAGTCAAAAACGACATCAAGAGGGAGACATTATTTACAGTGCCACCTGGCAGAAACGTCTCTGGGAAGCAGAGGTCGTGCTCTAGATAAACGTTTCGCATTTAAAAAACAAAGTTTTATATTTAGGAGGGGAGGGGAAGAGAGGAGAGAGCAGAGCAAAAATCTAAACAAGAACTGAACCAGAAACTCCACTGAAACAGGAGCAGAAAAAAACCCAACGGGGATTACAGTCAGCATCAGGGGTCGAATAATTGTATCACAACAGTAAGAAATTCTGAGGAAATCATTAGAAAAATAGAACAGCCAACCAAAAAGTATATATTTATATATTACTCAATAAAAATATGCACAGATTCTTTCATGGCTTCTTGGTTATTAAGAGATGTATTCCTGAAGAAACCCCACGTTCCATTAGATTTGTAATGTAATGTACAATTGAAAATGGTGTCACACCCATTCTTTGTGCTCCTGAGACCAGACGTACATTGAAAGGCACAACGTAAAGACAGGAAATCCTCCACTTTGTCACCAGGCACACACGTTACAACCCTTCCATCATCTGGGAAACACAGACATGACCACATGCAATTTGTGTAAGATTCCTCAGTGGCTGCATTCATAATGGTAACTCAGGGTTTGCTTTAAACATGGTTTGCTGAAGATACCAGTATCAGTCTCACAGACCAGCAGGTAGTAACCATGGCTTGTTTCACCTTATGCAAGTTTGCGTTTTTCAACTGTTCTTGCTTTCTACCTCTTTCTATAGGAAAGAAGCAAGGATTAGGCAAGGACTCTGGGTTCAGATGTAAGGGAAATATAAGCCAGCTTCAAACCATATAGTGGTAAACTTAATTTTACTTGGAGTACAACCACTTAAATTAATGAACATGACTCTTACTTAGGTACTTTAATTTCCATAGACCTACTCTAAGTAAAACCTAGTTGAATACCACCCATGGTTTCATATTCTTATTTGTTGAGCCCAAACCCTAATTAGTTGGCAGGGGTGGGCTTGGATGTAAAAACAAACCATAGTTAAACTAAACAAACCATGGCTTAACGCTATGTGAAAACCAGGCCACTGTCTAAGAGTTTCATCATCTCAGCATAACATTTTTTACTGGGACTTGTGCCAAGAGCAGGAGGAAATAAACCCTGAGGAAATATATGGATTGTTACCAACAGGCATTGTTCCTGCAACATTTGGCCTTTGCTTTGGAAGTACAACATACCAAGGACTAGCACATGAAAGCACCTGTTAAAGATGTACACATGTAACAAATGCCAGACAACCTTTGCAATGGATGCATCTTCTGAGATGGATTCATGAAGTTGTCAAAACAAAGTTATATGGACAAACAGCTAAATGATGATGCCGAAGTCCCATGGGGGGGGCAGTATGTGCCTATAACACATACAGCCCAATCCTCACACTTGATACATCAGCACATAAACGCTAACCTGTGGGTATTCCGGCACCCTCTGCACTTAAAAGACAGAAGTAACTCTTCCCAACATTTGCAAATTTTAAAAAGTAACCTTTTAGAATGAACTCCAAAGTAGCACTGAATAGTAATACTTTTACAGGACAGTTCAAAATGCAGCAACTTCAAGTGTGTACAAATGATATGCACATGAACACCATTGGCTTCAACGGAAACTCATGAACATGCAATTGGGTTACATTCAAAAAGCATAAAATATTCACTTTGCTATCGCCAGAACTTGTGAAGCCTGGTCAAGGTTACACTAAGGTTAATTTGTAAAATGTTGAAACAGAAATTGTCAGCCTTCTCATGCTCTCTTGTGCAATCTATACAAATGCAATGGGGTGTTATATGCATGGATACCCTGGCGGAATGCATGCACAGTTCCCTGTGCTGTATTAGGAATTCAATATGCAACAGATGTGGATTGGAATAGAATTTGGGTGCGCACCCACATCTGATATTGCCAATGCAATCTTGGTGAGCATTGCATAATCTGGGTGAGAATGCATTTCCTCCCTCCATCTTGCAGCACAGATTGAAATGTGCAACCCCAGCTATAAAAGGCCACTATGCAAGGGTTACTGCCACATATTACTAACAGCAGACAGCACAATGATACACACTAGTCTCTGGATTAGACCTTGCAAACGGCAATAATTTCTAGAATTTTTAACTCCCTTCCTCGGTGTCAATTTTACTTATCTAGTAACATGAACCCCTAATGTTCCAGATCTATAAACTGTGAGCCTCTGCTATACAAATGTTAGGTTTGATTGGACATCACATCTCATAGCCCATAAGCTGAAGTACTTGAGAACACTTCACCATAGGTCACCACTTCTTAATTTCAATGTAACACTGAAATGATACGAGACTGCAGGGCAAATCAACACTGAACAGGTGCTAGGACTACAATGTCGACTGTAGCCCAAGGAACATCAAGCTGTGAATGAGAGGAACATGGAGACCAAAGATCCAACAAAAGTAATGAACGTTGGTTTTCCAGTTAATTGTTCATCTTTTGCCCACAAAGTTGGTTATTTTCTCTCTCTAATAATGAGCAATATTAGAAAAACAAAGACATTGGGTAGATTCATGTTACCATGCTTTACATACAATCATTAATTGCCCGTTTTTCTGATCCTTTGCAGCTTCAATCATTTATGGAAGGGGCAATTTCTCTCTCTCTCCCAACCATTATATACACTAGTGGCCAAAATTGTGGGAACCTTTTGGGAAAAGTGTATTTCCGAGGTTTGATGACTCATAACACCTGATTGGCTCTCTAAACAATCCTGCTCACTGGCTACATTCAAATGAAGGAAAGCGACTGCATATCAACCTAAGCAAGTGGTGCTTCCTTTTTCTGGTTATTTGGCTATAACTTTTGATAGAATAAAGATAATTGAACAAACCTTGTTGCATTACATTCTTCATTAAACTATCTTTCCACTGATATATAATTTTATGGTATTAATCCAAAATAAAGTGGTGTTACGAGTCATCAAACCTCAGAAATACACTTTTTCCTAAAGGTTTCCACAATTTTGGCCACTAGTGTATATAATGGTTGGGAGAGAGAGAGAGAAAAAAAAATTGCCCACTCCGTAAGTGATTGAAGCTGCAAAAGATCAGAAAAATGGGCAATTAGTGATTGTATGTAAAGCGTTGTAACATGAATCTACCCAGTGTCTATGTTTTTCTAATACTGGTTATTTTCTCTCTCTAATAATGAGCAACTTTGTGGGCAAAAGGTGAACAATTAACTGGAAAACCAACTTTCATTACTTTTGTTGGATCTTTGGTCTCCATGATCCACCATGTGAACTTTTACAGCTGGAATGAAGCCACAGGTCTAAATGTAGTGCCGTGCTCTTCCAAAGTTCCTTCTATATGGGTGATTTTAACCAAATCCCCAGCTGTGTTCCTGTGCCATGGTTGGGTGTGATCCTAGCCCAGGGTTTCAAATTCTATGCACACCCAACTAGAAGGAAGTCCTGCTGAACTCACTTAAAACCATCTTCCAAGTGAAACATGCATCAGGTCAGGGTACACATTAGGCATATTCACCCTTGCTGACTTAAGGGTTTGCACACACATCCCCTTCCATACTGGGCTTGTGCCCTTCAGGGAGAAAAATAATCTAATGGAGACAGTGAAAATGAGACAATTCCTGAAGGAAGTGGTGGTGGCTTCCATTGATTCAAGAGGCTACTTTGGACAGGCTCCTCTGTTACAGAACCATATAGAATTGTAGTGTTGGAAGGGACCATGATGGTCATTTTGCCCAACCTCCTGCAATGAAGTGAAAGACCTCATACAAAGTAAGATACCTGTTCGGTCTTTTTCGTTTGAGCGTAACCCAGAAGGCAATGCTTCAGAATACGGCTTTATATACAACAAAGTGTCCCAGCAGCTATACAAAACCACCTTCTTATTTAAACATAATAAAAATAAAAAGTTTCCCACTTATTTACAAAGACGAGCTCCAGTAAATGCTGGCCTGTTCTTTACAATAGCAAGCCTACAGCAGCAGCAGCAGCAGCAATCAGGTTTTCACCAAACTCAAGCTTTGCATGTATTTACATTTAGGCTTCAGAGGTGAGGGCAACACAGCCTATCTAGTCTTCCATCCCCACCCCAAGTGGCAAAATCCTACACCAATAAGCAGAAGTTTACATTCCACGTCCTGAGCACCCCCCATCTTCAACCATGCAAGGGCCTGGCAGTGGCAACAGTACAGGGGTAAGCACAGCAGAGAGATTTAGCGACCCCTGTTGGTACTAGCAAAATTGTCCAACAGGAATAGGTGGAATTGTCCAGGCACTACATCTCCTCTCTGAGCTGTTACACACCATAGGAAGAGGGACCAAGTATAAGCTCACCTAGTGCCAATATTTATGCAAGTGCAGCCTACCTGGTTCCAGTTTCAACACTACTGAGAACAAGGGTGGGGGATCTGTAGTCCTGCAACACCTGGAGGTACACAATTCCCATCACCCCTAACCATTGGCTGGAGTTGATGGGAGTTGGAGTCCAACAGCATCCCACCACCTGAAGTGAAGCAAGCAGAGGAGGAGGAGAGCCACTAGCCTAGAAAATTGAGTTCTATTTTTTTAAAGGAAGTAGCATATGACATCACACATACACTCAGCGCTCCTTTAAGCATGGTCAGGATTCCGACCTCTAATCATTTTCCTGGGGTGGGGGGATTTGCATGAATCCCATGTTAGACACGCACACGATTTGCTGATATACAGTACAAAACTTAATGCTCCTTTTGTGAGATGTTTACCCTGTTTTTCCCTCCTGTTCGGAGAAATAAATACATAAAATCAGTTCTAAAATAAGCTACCGAATGACAAAACTACAGCTACGCTAGATCATAAAAGTTTACTGCTAAAAACTTGCTGCATTAGAACTGTTATCAATGTCTAGGCTTTGGCGCTCAGAACACAGGAAGCCACCTCCCAGAATTAAGGACCCAGTACCTGCCACAGGTACTAACTTCATATCCAACTCATGTGGAATATGCAGCAAGGGAAGTTTGTTAGGGAGAAGACGCCTCCTAAGGTTAAGTTGGGGTCCCTGTCACATAGGTCTTTAGAGATGATGACCAGAACCTTGATTTGAACTAGAAACCCAACTTCCAGCAAAGTCAGACTGTTAGCCTGATAACTGGCAGGGCCTTGAGAACAGTTTCAGAGCCTTCTTCAAGGGCAGCTTCACATTAGGGCACATTTTACAAATCGATCCAAGGGGCTACAGAACAGTCTTCGGCAATCTGGCACCCTCCAACTGCAGCCAATGTAAGTTGTGCTAGGTGCTAGGTTGGCAAAGGTGACGACAGATGAACCGAGGACACGGAATTCCACACGGGCAAAGCCTATATAGAAGCGATTTCTATGTGGGAGTACGCAACAGACAACTGGGGAGCAACTGATAACTGGGGATCTGGGCTCAGGCCGCAACTAAGCCACAAGCTCTGTAACATGGGACTGTGAACTTCCTAATTAGATAAGCTGGAAGTTCCAAGACATCATTTAGTAGAAGAATGAGCCTTTTAAAAAGGCACAGAGAAGAAATTGACCGATCCATTGGAACAAATCTGAAAGAATTAATGCAGATGCTGAGGTGAGGGAACTGCAGACACATAGGCTTTTGCAGACCCTGGACCGGAGTGGACGGCTGTTTGTGCAGAATTCCAGGATCTATGGGAACAGGCAGGCAGAGCTCTACACACGAAGGCTTCCGCCCGTCAGACATGCGGAAGGGCTAAGAGGAACCGCAAAATGGTTCCTGTTGGATCAGGCTAGCAGGCTGCCTGTTCTGTCCTCACCATGGCCAATCGCTGCTATAAAAACCAGAAAGGCACAGGGAACCTTAGAGAGGGCTAAGCTACCATCGGCAAATGGCCTTTCGAGAATACTGGAGACATGAAATCTCTTGACTGTAATATTGCAAGCCGCCCTGTGATCTTCAGATGAAGGGTGGTATAGAAATTTAATTTAAAAAATAACCAGATGCCTATGGGAAGCCTACAAATAGGACTCAAGTACAACAGCCCTTTCCCTACCTGTGATTCCCAGCTCTCTCTGAGAGCAGAGGCAGGGCAGAGCCACCATGGCTAACTGCTACTACAAACCACATTCTCCGTGAATTTGCCTTCTACAACAATCGAAGTCAGTGGCTGTTGCTGTATCACTCCCATAAGATTAGAGATGGGAAGGCTTGGGGGAAAAACCAGAAAAATGAGGGGGGGGACACACACCAGGTTTCCCCCATTCCCCCCCCAAAGCCATTTCCCCCCCAGAAAAATGGCTTTGGGGGAAAACCCTGGGTTTCTCCCCCAATTTTACCGGGTTTTTTCCAGGCCTTCCCATCTCTAATCTTATGGGAGTGAAATTAATGGTTTCAAAGACGTGCTGTGTGAAGAAGTACTGTCTTTGGTCTGTCCTGGATCTTCCAACGTCCCGCTTGATTGCATGTCCGTGAATTCTAGTATAATGAGAGAAGGAGAAACCCTTTCACAGGAGATGAATCTTTTGTACACTGCCCAGGAATCAGTCATGCTCACCTCAAGGGCCACTTCTGGCCTTTTGTTTACCAGCTAATCAAGTCTTCCATGTGCCGTAATACAGGTCACCCTCATACTGCCCCCCCCAACAGCCTTCCCCAAGCTGGTGCCCTCCAGATACTGCAACTCCCAACAGCACAGGCCTTCTGTACCTATGACCTCAAGGGATGTTGCAGGGCGAAGCGATAGCAATGAAGAAGTGCCAAACCAAAACAGCAGAACCTGGGGGGCACCCCCAAAGGAACATTTCCCCCCTCAGAAATCCCTCACATAAAAATAGGATCAACCCTCCCGAAAAATAAAGATTTCCCCTTCTTCTAAGTTCACACAATTTGCCTCAATGGCAAAGATATGAAGCGGCTAAACATAAATATCAAATAAAAAATAAAATCAGGTTTCCAAGAGAACAGCAATGAAAAAATAATAATATTAATAAAATAATAATAATAATAATAAGCTACAATATTTACAATGGATTTTTTTCTACAGCAAGGATCTGCATGAACTTGATGTTTCTTTTGGAAACCCACTTTTTCTTCCTTTTCTTTTTACCAAGAGGTGGCTCTCGGTCTATGCCATCCTTTGGCAACCCTCTGGCCTTCCAGAGGTTTTGGACAACAACTCCCTTCCGTCCCAGCCAGCTGGCCCCAGGTTACCAAGGGGTCGTCTATGCATAGGTACAAAAAAGCCAACCTTCTTCAGTTCCACACCCGCACTCAACAGGAAGGCTGACAGATGGCTTTAGAAGCACAAGAAGCTTCTGCTAATTATTAGGAGGCATCGCTCAAGCTGCATGCCTGTGCCAGCACTCTTTGGAAACAGCGCAAAATCCTATTTGGAGTTCAGCATGGCTAAGGTGGCATCTCAAAGAGTTCATTGCACAAAAGCAGCACTCAGCAGGTAAACTGCCATACAGCTGCATGAGCAAGAACTTGCCTATTGAGCACAGTAAACTATCACTGCACGCTCCCTTTTGCTTCCGAGTGTTGCATGCTTCTCCCTCTTCTCTAGAGAAAAGCCAGCCCTCGCAGGACAGGTGAAAAGCCACAATAGTTTTGACTTCAAAGACGACACATTTGTCCAAAATCTTCCATGAACTAATGCTGTTTCTTACCCTGCACCAGAAGAACCAAGTTTGGCAGAAGCTCCCTCCCCACAAAAATAAGTTATTTAAAAATGTAACAGTGTTGGGAGCTGGACCTAGCAGACCAGGGTTCAAATCCCATCTCCGAAATGGATCAATTCAAGGTTGCATACATTGCTTTCTCTCAGCTTCAAGGAACACTGGAGGCCCACCTCACAAACTTGCGATGAAGAGGAGCAAGATGAGAAAGGGAAAGCACTAAACTCTGGCCAGTAACTCCTAATTTTGCAGATTTATATACCCTGGGGACAAACAAGCAACCACTTTTCTACACAGAATTATACCATGAGCCAGAAGCTTTTCTCGTAAAAGCAGCAGGGTCTGTTAGCTGCCTAAACGAAGTATTTTGTGTCACAACAGATAGAATTCAGCCTGCAAGCCACTACCCTACAGAAGACTGTTGCAACGTTGCATTTCAAAGCGCAGGAGTTGCCTGCATAAAATAAGTCAAGTACAATGATTAAATAACACCACCAAGTCCTTTTCTCAATCAGATCAGTCCTGCAAGGGGCAGGGTGTTTTGCTAACACACAGGCGGTTGGGGTGGGTTGGGGTGTTGTTTTCATTTAGGCAAGGCCCCTTGGTTTTTGTGGTCCAACACAGGTGACTCTGGAGACAGTACGAAGTCTGCTTAACTTGAATCCAAGGACAGTACCTGGGGAATTACTTTGCAGGGCCTCTGTAAGGCTTGGTCTCATAGCAGCATTGGAAGTGAACTGGCACACTGATAAGCTGTTATCTTTCAGTATACTTATGACAAGGGAGGGGGAGCTGCCAGCATCAGATAACAGTGTTGTTGGAAGTGTGCCAGAGGTCTGGCTTTTTCCTTGTGATCCCTTATAACTGTACTACCAAGGTAAAAGCAAGCTGCAAGGGGCAGCAGTGGGACATGGAAGCCCACCTGATACTCCACAGAACAAAATACTTCAGGGTCCCAGAGAGGAAAGCACCCTTCCCTGTAGAGGATGCTCTCAGGTGTCCTTTAGCGGAACCAGGCTGCCAATCATTTGCAACTGTCCACGTTGTTGTCCGTACTTCGTTCTGTATCCATCGGTGCCGAGTAAGACGCCTCCACACTGTGCCACATGCCGTAGGTAAAATAAATAAGCAGACCTGGAGGGAGGGAGGTAAAGGGGCACAGCGTTGGAGAGAGCATGAAGTCATCCGACAGCACACAAGCCAAAGCATTACGCCTGTTTAATCTCTCCCACTGAAAATGCCTGATGTCTTCCAATCAGCAATACCACCATCTGGTTATGCCACATATAAGGTCAGAACCAAGCCCAGCCCTGTCACCCGGCAGGATGCAGCAACTTGCAGTAGGCAGAACCACAGAGGGTGGGAAATAGATGAAGGCAGAAACTGGTGTCTGAATGGTGCTACAAGACTTCTGGAAGGACTGGCCCTATAGTAGTGGGAAGGGGGCATTTGGAGTCTGTTTAAGGAACCAATGAAATCTTGTTGCAGCACTGTTCACAACTTCCTTCTGTTTAGAATATATATATTTTTTAAGAATTCCATCATTCTGCATGGTCAGAAACCCAGTTGCAAACTCACCTATCACCATCCAGATAGCAAATCGTATCCACGTGCCAACATCCAGCTGCATCATGAGATAAACATTCACAAAGATGCTCAAGACTGGAAGGATGGGAAGAAAGGGGACCTGGAAAAAGAACAGAAACCAGGTTGTTGTGCCTCTGGATGGCATTTTGGGACAAGCCAGTTCCCAACACCATGTTATCGATGTGTGGTTGCACAATCCATTTGTGGCGACTGAGCCTGCTATATCACATTGCCAATGGAGGGGCATATGAGAATATCATTTGCTTTCAGCTGGTACCTAAAATTGGCCCTGTAAAAAATTCATTAGCAATTTACAAGAGCAATAGCATCATCCAGGAAGTTCCTCTGGAAATGGAATTCATCTCTGCTGTTAGTTTAATTTTGCCTTCCAGATGCTGTTGGAGCATTTGGCTTTACCATTTCACATCACCTGGGACCTTTGCTTTAAAAAATAAAAATGGAAAAGCCATGTATAAATTTTAAAACTAGTACTTAGTTGGGGGAGGGGTATTTGGGGTACTCTCTTTTTTTTAGAGAGAGAGAAAAAGCAAAGGGTACTTAAAAATCCCCACCACCACCTTTTCAGGGTTAAAAGCCTGTAGAAAGTAAGAAGGCTGAAATACAAGTTTGGTGTGGCTTTCCCCCCCTTTTTTGCAGCTCAGTGAGAAGAGAGAACAAGAGCTCCTTTCCAGGGGCTGCATCTCAAAGCGTGGAGCTGGTGCTTTTGGAGATTACGCTGAGATTGCCAAAAAAAGACATGCAGCCTTGCATCCCCTCTGCCTGGCCGCTATTAAACATAAATAGACAGATTGCCAGATGAGAAGCAAAAGAAAGGAATATCGGGAGTGCTGAAGGTCAAGCTGGAGGTGCACATAGCCAATCTGCGTGGGAAAGTTTGCTCTGCGCCTCCTCTCCCCCTGCCCATGCCTTGCTAATTCCTGCCCTTCTAGAAAAAGCAGGTTAACCTCCATTAATCTCTCTTTCCATGCATGGAGCCAACAGAGACTCTGACTGCTTCCCCCACCCACAACCACCCCAGCCCATTCCTTGCAGACCACTTGCCTTAAACGAGAGCTTGGTTTTACTTTCAGGTTGTCTCCAGATAACCACTGTGAAGAAGAAGCAGAGGAGGAAAACGGCCACAAGCAGAGCAATAGCCCACGGGGTCCCGTTCTTCAGAGCATCTTTGCCAAGGACAGTCCAGCTACAGAAGGTGACGATAAGAACGCCTGGCAACAAGACACATGGAAAAAATGTTTGCCGCGCTGATTTGGTGGTGGGAGGGAAGGACTGAATACAAAAGCAACAGTAATTTTAAAATCAAGCCAAGTACGGTAAAGTTCGTAGCAAATGCAGCGGTGTGTTGCAAGGTTCTGTAGTTTTGATCCTAAATCTGTGCATGCACAAAAATTCTGGGGCAAGCCTGCCCCTGTTCCTATATGTTTCATCAATATATGCTGCAAGTTGGTGGACGGGTCAAATCCATTTCCGACTCGGCTCTCCACCAGTACGATCTTATGTCCCAATCCAACAAAAGGAACACAGGGAGCTGACTCATTCCAAGACAGATCAATAGTCCAGCTAGCTCAGGGTTCTCTGCTCAGACTGGCAGCAGCTCTCCAGGCAGCTCTATGTAGAGATGTAGGAGACTGAACCCGGGACCTTTTGCATGTAAATCAGATGCTCTATCATGGCACTATATAGCCTACAGGCTTCTATATGCGCAGCCAGCACGGATGCCAGTTCATTTCTGGCTGCTCATTCAAAACCATACAGTGGTGCCTCGCAAGACAAAATTAATCCATTCCGCGAGTCTCTTCGTCTTGCAGTTTTTTTGTCTTGCGAAGCAACCCTATTAGCGGCTTAGCGGCTATTAACGGCTTAGCGGCTTTAAGAAAAAGGAAACAAACTCGCAAGAACTCGAGCAAGCCCATAGGGAAATTCATCTTGCGGAACGACTCAAAAAACGGAAAACCCTTTCGTCTAGCGAGTTTTTCGTCTTGCGAGGCATTCGTCTTGCGGGGCACCACTGTATTCTGATGCTCTTCCAAGCCCAGGGGATTATTCTTCTGATATAGACTGGGGTGTACAAAATTAGATGGCTGCAACTAGAGTTCACAGGCCGTAAGTATGCAGACTCTCTTAACCATCCCCAAAGCTGGTGTCCTGTTGGACCAGAATACTTCACCAGCCTCAACTCCCATCAGCCAGCATGGTCAGTGGTCAGTTGTTGTACAATTAGATCTGGAGGGCACCAGAAAATTCTAACGGAGAATTAGGTCTTGGCAAAGGATCTAAAAAAGTGGCGGCTCCCGATATTTAAACAAACCCATATGCTACATTTTATGGGAGTTTTGCAAGTCAACCTTACAAAACGAAGCTGCAGCTGCATGTGTTATAGAGAACTAACCACATTATCAATGTCACATGTCCAGAGAAAGGCCAGACCAGAAGAAATTAACAATTGCACACATGAAACCAACTCTTACCTATGATGCAGGAGGAGACATTTACTACGGACCCAGAGAGTTTGGAAGGATCAGTATTTTGGGGGCGGAAAACAGCTTTTAAGGAAAACTTCTCTCCCTTTTCAGGCAGAAACGCAGTCTGAGATTCACTGGTGCTCACGGACTCGTTGTTGTCTGCCTCCTCATTTGTACTAGCCATCTGGTACGCCAAGTTCGGCTGCTCCGGTTGGTACCTAAGGGGAAAAAAATAATTGGAACACATTAAGCACCATCCTATCACCTGTAACTACAGTGGTACCTCGGGTTACATACACTTCAGGTTACATACGCTTCAGGTTACAGACTCCGCTAACCCAGAAATAGTCCCTCGGGTTAAGAACTTTGCTTCAGGATGAGAACAGAAATCGTGCTCCGGCGGCGTTGCTGCAGCAGGAGGCCCCAATAGCTAAAGTGGTGCTTCAGGTTAAGAACAGTTTCAGGTTAAGAACGGACCTCTGGAACGAATTAAGTACTTAACCCGAGGTACCACTGTATAAGAGAGTCTCACTTAATACGTTTTCTTCCCAAACTGATTCCCGGGCATTGGAAACAATGACTCTGAAGGAGAGGGTTGCTAAATACCACTTAAATCTTCTAAGCCAGTGGCTGTCTAGAATATTGCTCAGTATCCCCAGCAGGAAAGAGCACGGCCCACTGGTCACACCTACAAGCTGTAGGATTGGGCCAAGGGTGAATGTGGCATTGCAGGGTGGGGGAGACACAAAAAGGTGACACATCCCTGAACTAGTCTGATGAAGAGTTCAGGACAGCTCTGAAGTTTGCACACTGTATTATGATGTTTTGGTTGGCCTAAAAAAAACACACACTATTGTCCCCATTTTGGAATTTTTAAATAAATAACATCTGGAACACTTGAGAACCATCTTCTCTGCACCGTAACACAGAAACGTTGTGCCGTACCTTAGCACCAACACACAGGCAGCCACCAAGGAGTAAGCAAGAAGCGTCCCAATGGACATAAGGTCTACAAGATCCTTCAGGTCCAAGAGAAAGGCCATGACAGCTGGTGGGAGACAAAGAAGAGACAGATAATGCAGTGGGGTAAATCCATTTCATATATAAGACTAATTAGCCATGACAGTTCACTCCTTATTCATACTTTCATTCCAAGCAACCCAAGAGAAAGACCCGTGCCTTGCACTGCGTTTAAAGAAGTGTTAAATAAAGGCGTAAGAGAAGGCAGTGGAGACGACCACAACAGCTCTTCTTCTTGCCCTAAGATCCTGCTCCTAAAGCAGGGGGCATTTTGTATCTGTGGAAGCACCCTGTGACTTTTAGAAGCCTGATTTTCCACACAAATAAATATGAATACCAAGGCCAGCATTCAAAAAAAGAGCATTTAAACCCCGGAAGAGATTTGCTCATCCTGTTTTCACAAACAGCAGCAGTCTGTTGAAGGCTGCTTATTAAACAGAGGCTCCGCTTGGCAGAGGAAACAGCAAAAAACAGTAAGAGTACATGTGGGTATGTTTTAATCCTGGTCCAATGCTTTGCATGATGCAACAGACAAAGGAACTGCCTGAAGCAATTCCAAGATGAGATGCAATCGCAACACTAAACTCTAGAAAGTACAAAGCAGTACAAAGCATTCTCCTTGAGTAACACTTAAGTGCTTTATTTGAGGAACTAATGAGAATGTGCTGAGGACTGGGGTGTTAGCTCGATCTGCTCATTTTAAAACAGGATTAGCTACTCAGTCCTTTCTTCACGGATCTTGGGGTCTCACCTGCAATAGCTCCCGAGGTTATTGTAGCCATCATCGGAGTCTTTGTCTTCTCATTAACACGAGCCAAGAACTTGAACAGTAGTCCATCTTCTGCCATAGCGTAAATAACTCTTGGCATTGGAAACATGGACCCAAGGAGACTAGAAAGAGACAAGGGCATAAGCCAAGCTCATCTTGCATTCACGAGGCAAACCGCCACTGCAAAAACAATCTAGCAATAGAGTCTTTATCTCTACTTTAAGGAAAATTACTTTCTTTAGGAAACCAACACCAGCACCTAAAGAAGGGATTTGTAATTTATCGAGCAATGGAAGACAAATGAAAAGTTTTGCCATCTTGCAGTTGCGAGATCTAGATGTTTCTCCTTCCTTCCCATTCCCAAGGGCCACAGGATGCACAAAACAGCTTTAGATACATCAGGTATCCCAACTTATTCTAAACCCAGTTAGCCAGCCATATCAGCTGAGCCATATAAGCTCCTACAAAGAAATGGTTCATTTTTTACTCCATAGCAAGGCTGGTGTTAGGTCACTGCCCTTAGACTGAGTCACACCAGTGACCCTCTAGCTCAGAATTGTCTATGCCAGTGTTCCTCAGCCTTGGGTCACCCATATATTTAATCTTAGCCACTGGCCAGGGATGATGAGAACTGTAGTTCGGCAACATCTGGGGAGTCAAGGTGGAAGAACATCCATCCATGCTGGCCACCAGAAGATCTCAAAAGTTTTCAGACGGGGTTCTCCCCCAGCACTGCTGGGAGATAACAGGGACAGAGTATCTTGCAGGCAAAGGAAGCACTCCTGTATCACTGAGCTACAATCATTCACCTATCATGGAAGGGATTTTTAAAAAGCCTTTCTCTCTCCCCCCCTCCCCACAATCTGCATCTATGATCTTTGTATTCTGGGCATTTACGTCTTAGAACAAGAGGGCAGGTGAGCACAAACCCCACTGAGCAAGTAGCAAAGGAAGCCCCAGCATCTTACCTTGTGGATAAGGCACAGAGTGAACCAACAGCCACTGCATAGTTTGCACCATCCCATCCCACATACTTAAAAGCAACAGGCAGGGGGCTGTTTTTATCTAACATGTAGTAAGGCATCATGAGGGTAAGAGCAGCCGACACACCGAAGTATGCAACAAAGCAAATCAGAAGCGATGCAACGATTCCTATTGGAATTGCTTTCTGGGGATTTTTCACTTCCTCACCTACGAAAAGAAAACAGCCACAAAGACTGAAAATGTTATTACAGAAACAATGAATGGGATCAATCCTTTCTTTTAGCTGTTATCTCCCCCTTACAACCCGATGAAATAATGGGGGGGGGAGCTGAACCTATATTCTCCCTCAATTCAAGGGGTGCCAAGAAGCTTCAGTTGCAGGGAGTTTTTGAAGGGGCTCTTTACTTGTTAAAATGCCATTTCCTCTCTTGTTCTTTAAAATATTATTTTGCAGAGTCAAATTTTTAGCTTTATTTTAGTTGTGTATATATACTGCATTGTATTGCTTTACCTATCAAGGTGTCCCAAACTGTTTTACAGTAACAAAATACATCATCTATAAGAAATTCAATATGAAAAAAATATATTTTCCAAGACATTTTCTCCACTCTACAACTTTTGTTGATATTTATCAACTATGAGAGCTAAACATTTTTTATTTTTTTAATGGAACCTAAGATCTTCGAAGGTACAGATAGGCAAATTTAGCCTTGTGGGATCTACTTTGGGTGCTGCTGTTTTTTACCATAATCAGCTGGTGCCGGGTGCAAAACAAGGGTGTTGGTGTTGGGGGGGGCAGAGGGAGAAGAGGGACAGTTGCAAAATGATGTCTCTAATGATTAAGGCAATTAACTAAGGCAATACAAATCTACTGAGGTGCAGTAGATCAGCATGAAGACATGGCCAATGGCAACCAATTTATGCTCCTATTTTGCAAGTGGGGTTCATGGACGCTGAGAGAGAAATGATTAGTACAGGGCCAGATTCTGAAGACCGGCTTTCCGCACTACCCCCATCAATTTTCACTTGCTATTGTGAAACAACAGAGCTGGAAATCCTTGGCAATCTTGAGTAAATTGCCAAGAGATATATCGGTAAATCCAAATTTACCTTCTGCCCACCCCCCACCCCTGTTCTAAGGGAACACAATAATTTAAAAAAGCATTTCAGTGAACTCATTCACCTGCAGGTCATACGATGGTCAACAGCAAAAATCTACTGTGCATTTTATTAAAAAATAAGGTTTTATTAAAGCTTTTCTCATAATACAATAAGATAAAGGAAACTAATCTAAACAAAAATAAAACCAGAGAAAGAAAGTGAGAATAAAATGCAGAGTCCTCTCTCAAAGGAAGCTCTTAACCCTTATCTCAGACTGTGCAAAATTCAACTGATTGGCTGGCATGGTCTACTGTGAATGCTATGCTATGCACATGTACCTGGGAGTGTCCTACTGAATTCTATGGGGATTACTCCTGAGTAGACGTGTACAGGATGGCACTGCACAACGATAATCAAGCAAGGCTGAAACAAATAATGACTGCAATCTGGAACTCCTTGAGGTGACTGCTATTGCGCCTGTCACACAGATGTACCGAATCCTTTCTTCCCCAAACTAATTTGATGAGAAAGAAATTTAATGAACTCTTCTTCAGATATGCATGTAACCTATTAAGCAATTAAATAGAAACCTTATTTCCTTCAGTACCTAAAAAAGTGTAATCGTACTGACATTTTGTAATATGTGCATTTAATTCAGTTGATGGAATTGCCTTTTTAAAAAATGACAACCATATTGCATGCTATCTAAATATAGAAGCAAGTGGGTTTTTACATATTGCAGAAGAGGGGTTATGATCAGATTAAGAGATTAACGCTTCATAGGCATCTAGAATATGGCTCAAAAAAGCATAATTGGTTATAATTATGTACCTGGAGATAAACTCATCAGAGGTCAAGTTATCATGCACAACTTAGTAAGTTCTGATCATCTCCTTTACAAAAGACCAGACACAGGACATGCAGAAAGTTTGTGTCGCAAGGAGGCATTCATGCAAACATGAGATCGCATACAGCATGAAGGTCACACTTTACCATTTGATTCTGCTGAACCCACAGTCTAACCCTTAACATCTAATGTGGATCTACAGGACTTTGCTAGTTTTAAATCCACCTAACATTATAGACTTGTAAGGCTAAATCTCCTTCCAGAAAAGGACTCTGCATTGAGCGCCTGTTGAATCTTGCAGTGTGTGAGTAGCTCACTTTTGCTGCATTCTTATGATAAAGAAAGAACACAGTGGAAACACTGAACTGGTGTATGCTGTCAAAATCACCCAACACTTCACTCTTCTTCTGTTCCTGCCTTGCTGCTGAGGAACAAGCCATAGCCTGGCTTGTCATGTTGTCCATACCTGGACTTGTGGTTTGCTCCTCTCCCATAAAACCACAAATGGTATCCAAGAACTCTGCTCATTCACATTAAGCCACAATTTATTTCAACTATAGTTTAATGTGATGTGTGAACCAAGTCCCAGTGGCCTAAACTGCACAAGGAAGTTGGCAGAACTGAAACAAAAGTCAACCTTGACTAGAAGGAAGGAAGGAAGGAAGGAAGGAAGGAAGGGAGGGGAAGAGTGACAAGAAGACAGACTAGAGCCTTGGGGTATAAGAAAAGGTCAAACTTAAAATATTTTAGGCATTTTTGGTCATTTAGCCCTTAACTTATCAACTCTCCATGGCAGCTGCATGATATAATCAGTGAACTTTACCCAGTAGTTTGACGCAGAAGACCCGCTGAAATCAATGGACCAATCTTAGACATATCCATCTGTTTAAATGGTCTACTCTGAAATTGGCTACAGCTCAGTACAATTAAATTAACTGAAATTGTACTCAAGAGATACTTAGCCATGAAAACCAGGCAGGTTGCTAGCTTTATGGAAAGAGATTCCACATGTGTACCAAAAAGTATATTTTCTTGAAGAAAAGAATATATAGCCCAGACAAACTTTGATGTATCCTGGCCACATCTATGCCTTGCAGAAGAGGCTTCAGCACTGTAGGTGCTCGGAAGAAAGGGTACACATCTTCTGACTGGCAAGACAATGCTGATGTTCACAGGTTTTCTGATTTCTGGCTTATTGTGGTTTGCCATGGAAGAGCACTATGCTACCATCTGCTCCCAAACCATAATCCCCGTTTTGGATGCAGCAGGAAGCCAGAACTTCCTGATATATTTATCCCGCTTGCACCAGGGAAGCCGGGATCAGGCAGAAAGAAGGAGCACAGTGCTTGTTCCACAGTAAACCATGGTAAGCAAGAAACCCTTGCTTATTGTTGTGTGCAAGCATGGCTGGAGTGTTTGAAGCCACGACCACAGAAAGGCAGCCGATTTGGAGAACAGAATAAAAAAAACCTGTTTGCTTTGTTTCACAAATTTAATGTAAACATTTTTTTAAAAAAAATCCCTTTCCCCAAACACTGAGTGGGTGAACAAGAAGTGACTGTTCTTTGTTAAGTTATCACCTTCTGATCTTTAAAAGGGCTCCCTTGTACAGAAAGTACATTTAGTAAACAAAAGCAATTAGTTAAAAGACAATCTATCTACTAGAAGTTCTTCAGCTATTACTTTCATGCCTCTTTGCAGGACTGCCCCGGCTTATAGGTGTCCACACACAACTTTGCTAATGAGGGAAGAACTGCCACGTTTTCCTTTGGCCCCCATTCCCCAATCTTTGTGATCTCATGATCAGCAACATACAAAGAAGGCTGAACTGTGGGCAGAATTCATAATGAAGTACAGTGTTTTATTCACTGTGAGTCCTGGGTTCTTACCTGTGGTGGCAATGCAGTCAAATCCTACAAATGCATAAAAGCATGTTGCTGCCCCCGAAAGAACTCCAGATATTCCATAGGGCATAAACCCACCAACACCATGTTCTGGAATGGTTTCACTAAAAACAGGCAACAAGAGATGTAGGTTATTCCTCTCAACAAGATTAATAGATTCAAAGGACAGTTTGCAACACGCTGATTTCAAGAGGAAGAATTGCCTCCAACAAGACATGCAGTTGACACATCAATGGTCCATCCATAGTAGAGATGTATGCTGGTTTTACACCAGTTTTAGTTGCAGGTGAGGATTACTGCCCTCATGTCCTGATCTGGGCTTCCCACAGGTGTCTGATTGGCCACTACAGGAAACAGGATAGTAGATCGGACACGCTTTTGGGTCCAATCCAGCACAGTTTCACTGTCGTGGCGTCCCTCAATGAATCTTGAGAACTGTAGATTGGTAGAGACACTTAGAGAGCCAGTGTGGTGGACTCGTAATCTGGGGAACCGGGTTCGTGTCTCCGCTCCTCCACATGCAGCTGCTGGGTGACCTTGGGCTAGTCACACTTCTCTGAAGTCTCTCAGCCCCACTCACCTCACAGAGTGTTTGTTGTGGGGGAGGAAGGGAAAGGAGAATGTTAGCCCCTTTGAGACTCCTTTGGGTAGTGATAAAGCGGGATATCAAATCCAAACTCTTCTTCTTCTTCTTCTTAGACCTGTATTCTGCCCACTCCAACCCCTGTCCAAAGCACAGTTCCCAGAATTCCTTGGGGCAAGGCACTGACTATTAACGTTTAAGCCATTTAGCAAACTTTGGGGGTTCTGTACCCTGCTAAAAGCACAAAACCTGTAGATTTGAGATCATCACAAACCACAGCACACGAAGGCTATAATACTCCCAGTGGACACAGGAAATTATATTAAAATCAGTGGGACTTACTTCCAAGTAGGCACAGATAGGGTTGAGTAACACATTTTGTTATATCTGGAGATGATGATGATGATTATCAACAACAGCAACCACAATACACTTAGGCTAATTTGCGAAATGTTTTTGAAACCATTCAGAAACTTTTTTTTTTCAAAAAGAACTTTTGATTTCCTATTGTTAAATCTAGCAAAACTTTGTAAGTCACAGAGAAGATTTGAAACATCTGAATGCTTCTTCAGAGGTTTTGGCCAAAGGATGCAGAGCTTAAATTCACAAAGAGCAGTGCAAAAAAATCAAAAGGACACCTCAGAAGTTTTTCACTGGGACCAGCCTTCCCCCAACCTGGTGCCCTCCAGATGTTTTGGACTAGAACAGCCCCAGCCAGCACAGCTGGGGCTGATGGGAGTTGTAGGGCAGCAGATTGGGGAAAGCTGGCTTGGACCCTAATTCTGTACTGAATGTGTCCTCAATAATTTTAGCCTGGCAAGGCCTTCACTACGACGCCCAAAATAATCATATGCAGTTGCCAGAGCGTTTGTTCCTGGTTCATTTTGTTCCAAGTAGGCTCAATGTTTTACTATTTTTCTTTGTGCGTTCAATAGCAGAGTGCTTTGGCTCTGTGCTGCATAGAACAATCTATACACAAACTGTTTGTGTTGAACAATTCTGCCCTGCAAAAACGGAATTGTGGCTCCTTAAAGACTAGCAAGTTGGTTGAAAGTGCCAACTGCAATTAAGCAATAGCCACTTAATTGTCTTCCACCCTCAGTCACTTGACAGGGACAGAGAAACTTCCCCCCATAATTTCCCCAGTGATGACTTGTCATAGCCACATGCTGGCCATGGGCAGGCCAAAGTCAATGGCGAGTGGAGCAACACCTTTTCTCACTCTGCCATCCCATTCTGGTTCAACCATGGTTCTGAACCAATCACTTACAGAGGCTAGCCCTTGCGTGAAATCCATATGGAGAAACGTTCTGTCTCCTGGATGGACCCATTTCTTTTCAAAAGCTCCATGTCTCATCCAATTTAAAAGGCCTATATTTTGTTTCCAAACGTCACAGACATGCTTAATTAACTCAAGCATAGCCAAGAGGCATTGTTACGTAAATCTAGCAACAACTTCTAAATCCAGTTATGCAAGGCTGGGTGATGAATGCCCAACAGATGTATTTAGAAGGACTCTACTGAACAGCCCAGAACGAAATTGCAAAGCATCTCTATACGACTGTCACCACTATTCCTAAGCAAAGGAAATGTTTCCCTAGAAGACGAAAGTGCAAGTAGCAGGTGTGAAAGGAAGGCGGTATTACATTACCAACATCTCAAGATATTTATTTATAGAAGGATTTGTGCACTGCCTCCGGAAATAAATAATAATAATAATAATAATAATAATAATAATAATAATAATAATATTTATATACCACCCTATACCTGCAGGTCTCAGGGTGGTTTACAGAATAAAATCAAAATATAAAACCACAACATCCATAACCAAAATAAAACAACCACCCAATAACTCCCCCCCAAAAAAACATTTTTAAAGAGCATAGGGTGTCAATCAAATCAACCAAAGGCCTGGTTAAAAAGGAACATTTTTGCCTTGTGCCTAAAGGTGTATAATGCAGGCGCTGGGGAGAGCATTCCACAGACGGGGGGAGCCACTGCAGAGAAGGCCTGTTCTCGTGTTGCCACCCTCCGGACCTCTCAAGGAAGACACACATGAAGAAGGGCCTCAGAAGATGTACAGAAGACATACAACAGTAGAACTAAAAATAACAATCACCGCAATATATCCAAACATTTAAAACATGGGCCAATTAACACACATGAAGAGCAGTGCTATACAAAAGCAGCATCGCAGATCAGATCCTGCTCCTGGCAGTCAAACTCTGCAGAGAAGCTCTGATCCTAGGAGACAGGGCAGTGGCCGGTGTCCTGAGCCAGGGCAGACAAAAGGCACTCTGTGTGCCCCAGCAGGGTTGAGAAGAACCCTCACAGTGTTTCATAGGAGATGGTAAAAGGAGGAGTCCTCTGCTACTGGAAATATCGAGGCAGACTCACAGATTGAATTTCTGAAGGATTCTAGCAAATAAGCCGACAAACATGTGTTACTGCATGTTAAAATAAAATTGAACCTACTTGTGTGAAGGATCCGAGATGTTTTCTGGGATCTGCCAGTGTTTAATCGATCCCTTCACAAACCCCGACACTATCACAAAGCCCAAGACAAGGACGTTGATACAGGTGAAGACTTTGTTAACCATTGCAGATTCTTTCACACCAAAAGTTAGAAGTCCTAGAAAATGTACAGTGCATAATTAGACAAGCTCTATCAACAGCAAAGGTATTTTGTCTCTGGAAAGATCAGTGCTTTCATGGGTGCACAATTTGCCATGCTGCTAACCCGTTACATTCTTTTTAGCACAGTGAGTTGCCCCAAGGCTCGATTCAGACATTACAAGCAAATACAGTCTTGAAGTCATAAACATGCTGAGCTCACATGCTCCCTCTTACTCCTGTTTGCTTCGGTTCTTCTCATCTCTTCCCCCTCATTTGCAATAGCCATCCTTCCCCACAGAAATTACGGAGGAGACGGGCATACGAATTCCACCCTTGGTTTTTTTGCCCAGGCTTTCCGTGACCTGCACAATCAGAACCTGTTCTGTATGTCTGAATCCCCTAATCCCCGTTTTAATGGTTTTAGGCTGCGTTATTGTTCCTTTAAAAGAACTGTACACCACTTAAATACTGTGAAAATATTAAGCGGTTTATAAATCGTTACAAACAAGTCAATAAAATCTCCTGAGAGGTTCGAGAAACAGAAACAATCTACAGAGTTTTTAACAATTAAATATGGGACTTTAGAGAAATGTTGGGTTAGTTTGGTCTTCCTTTTAGGGCCAATTCAATTGAAGAAGTCAACCAGTTTGCCCATTCAGGGTATTAGACAGTACTCTGAATGGACAAACCAATTGACTTCTTCACTCATTGTGGTATGCTATGAATACGCCCACATTGAAGGCAACATTGCAACTCCAAGGCAGCTTTCTCTAACCTGGTACAGGAGTGGCTCAACCAGTGGATGGGGCCACAGCAAGTGTCTCCAAGCCAGTGGTGCTTTTGCCACTTAACAAGGGAGGATGGGGCAAGGCAGTGGCCAGACAGGGGCTGCTTGGGTGCACCAGCAGGAGCATCAAATTGTCTCCTCCAGGGCATCTCTTCAGTCCTGGCCACGTCCCTCCTGGAAAATGGCAGCAATGCTACTGCCTGGAAGCTACTGCTGTAACTCCTCCACAGAGGCTTTTCCCGCCCTTCACACTTTTTTAGATAAAATTCCATCAGCCCCAGCCAGCATAACTAGTGGTCAGGGATGGTTATAACTGCAGTCAAACAACACCTGGAGGGCACTAGGTTGGGGAACGCTGCATATGGCCACAAACTAGAGGGCCTACATAAGAAGCTCCAGGCATCAAAAAAACAGACTTTGGAGGCTTTTATTTTCCACAATAGCAATCCACTCACAAGTTCAACTGGGCCACTCTTCGACAAATGCCAAAATATACCAGGGAGAAAATTAGTTTGTGCAGTTTCATATCCAGCACATTTTGCATGCGTCTTCAAGGCTGGGTGGTTTCTCCTTTTTTAAAAGAATAAATTCTGCGCTCACTAAATAAATAAAGTCCATGCAGCGTTTCAATGTTTTGACTGTTGTAAGATAAACAGCCATCCACCAGCATGATGGCAGCCCTGTCTTCTTTCCCCACATCTTCCTGGCTGGAGCTCTAAAGGAATTGGCAGACTGTTGAAGTTAACGAATCCAAGTTCTTCTGCAGCGTTTGAAGACTTCCAGCTTGCCTCCTCCTCTACGGTAAGAAGCATTGTTGCTGTCTGACTCCCATTTCCACTAAAGCGCCTACAGCGCCCTTCTTTTATCAAAGCAATTTCAAAGGGAAGGTGGCTGCTGCAGTCCTAACTCTGCTAGCTTTCCAATAGGTCAACCTGACACTTGAGGCAAACAAAGCAGCTTTGAAAGCAAGGCTAGGGTTTTGCTCTTCCTGGAATTGCCAACAAAGAGAATGCAGAAGGACAACAAATTCTTAGTCCAGAAAAACTTCCCAAACCAGCTTTCTCTCTCTGTCTTACCTGTTAAGATCAGGATAATGAAAACAGAAAAGACGTCTGGATATTTTGCTAGAATACCAGGAGCATTCATGGACATGTACTGTTGGAAGAACATTCCAATATGCTTGCCTATGAGTTCGTCAAACGTTGCGCTCCATGCTCGGGCCACACTTGATGTCCCTGTCAGAGAATAAATATTGGGAATTGCTTAGTTGCTTATTTAATACCACACTATATCCATTTATTTCAGGGTAATTTGTAAACATAAAAAACCCAGTTGGCTATGTAGGACAACTGTAAATCAAAGAAATTAACAGTGGAAGATTTGGGGCAGGGACTTCTAGCGCTGTGATTTATATGCCAAAACTACACAGGGACTGTTGTCAATCCTCACATGGATTCTTCAAGGTGATAATCCAAGGCATTAGGGTCGGGGACTGGAGATTGTTGGCAACTACCCCCCCCATACACATTTATTATTATTATTATTATTCACAAACAGAAAGAAAATGAAAGACATAGTTACAATTCATAAACCATATTTTACCAAACCCGAACTCATGTATACTAATAAGCAACTATATTTTGCACCCATGTGGCTTTCCTCCACCACAACTCGACGTTCTTTACTGCATACTCTTATTTACATTGTGTCCTTATGTTGACTATTTTATTTCTATTAATAAGTTTACCTTGATTTAGTTCCTCTTTACATACTTGTTCTAAGCATATCAATATGTTTTCTTTAGAAAAGTGTTTCTTCATATAATCTTCAAAACATTGCCATTCCTTCCTTAGATTCTGATTAGACTGATTTCTTATGGCTGCCGCTAGTTTGGCTAATCCTATAAATTCATATAGTTTATTTATCCAATCTTCCTTTGTGGGGATAGTATCCCCTTTCCAGTTCCTAGCAAGTAATAGTCTGGAAACGGCTGTGGCATATAAGAATAATCTTTTCTTATCCTGTAGTATGTCTTTGCCTAAAATGCCTAATAAATACGCCTCTGGCTTCTTTTCTATCGAAATTTTAAACATCTTCTTTAATTCCTCGTGAATATACCCCCAGAAGGTCTTTACTTTCTCACAGCCCCACCATGTATGTCCCATTCCTATGCCCATCCCTCAAGGCTGCCACATACACTTGCTTCTATTAATATACAATAAGCAATGGGGGAAGCCTCTTTCCATCAAAATTACCTTTACTGGCTATGCAAATACTCATGGTTAGACATATATAGTCGTTGATTTATTGGCAAATCCATTCAAGGACTTCTAGCGGATGAGGTCCACATGCTTAGCCCTCATTAACTTAATTCAATTCTCTATCCTCTGCTTTGGAATCTATTGAACAGAACCTTGTACTCTGTTCTGTCTCCACCCCCAATATTCAGCCTGGACACTGAGGACTAGCGCTGAGGGCCTTCCCTCACTGCGAGAAGTGAGGTTGCAGGGAACCAGGCAGAGGGCCTTCTCGGTAGTGGCACCCGCCCTGTGGAACACCCTCCCATCAGATGTCAAGGAAATAAACAGCTATCTGACTTTTAGAAGACATCTGAAGGCAGCCCTGTTTAGGGAAGTTTTTAATGTTTGATTATTTATCGTGTTTTTAATATTCTGTTGGGAGCCAACCAGAGGGTATAAATAATAAATAATAATAATTATTCCAATTCTGTAACAAACAGTATACTCCATTAACATGTTTACAGCACCGGGGGAAAGCAAGATAGCTAAGGCATCTTACCGCGAGCCCATCTAACCTTGGCCAAGAAATATTCTTCTCAAGAGCAGCATAGTATACAGGGGCCAGGGGCTACTCAGAAAACTCAAGAGGTGTGGTCCATAGAAGCGTGGTGAGAAAGGGTAGTAGGGGCAGCAGATTCCACACCACGAATTCATCTCTTCAAGATGGCCTCCCCATTTCAAAAGTTAACAGGGACAGAGTGTGGGCAGACCAGATAGAAACAACAGCCATGCTGCAAAGCTCATGGGGGAAAGTTTGCCTTTCATCGCAACACAACTGCACATAGTTTTACATAGGCTGGAGCATTAGAAAGAAGTCAGGATCCAGGAATTTAGTACCAGAGAGAGGAAAGCAAGAAAAGCTGGTTGCACGAGGAAGCAAGGCAAGACTGACCACTTCTTCTCAAACCGGGGCTGTCCCACCTTTACTGTGGCCCAAATTACTGACTTCAGGCAACTGCTATAGCCATGTGAGCCTCAGTTACTCCCACTGGGCTAATGCACTCTGGTTCCCACCATCCCTGACCATTGGCAATGCTTGCTGGGGCTGATGGGAATAGGGTTGTCCAACAATTCTTTATTTTATTCCTGCATTGCAGGGGGTTGGACTAGATGACCCTTGGTATCCCTTCCAACTCTACAATTCTATCATAAAAATTTTATACTGCTTGATTGGGGCAGATGGGACCTCAAAGCAGTTTACAATATCTAGGTGGCACCATTTTGGAGGAAGTGATTCAAGAAGCTGTCAGGTTGCTCAGTTCTATAACCCAGATGACCACATGAACGCTATGGGCTGGGACTAAGATAGATTATGCACAGTGCTAAAAATGAACGCATTTCACCCTTCAGTATACTGTTTGTGACTATTCGCTGACCACTCGTAGAATGCACTTATATCCAGTTCTTAAGCTACTAAACAAAGCTTTGAGGAACTGCCTGAAAGGAGGAAGTTATGGCGAGGGCCCATTCTCTGATCAACAAGAGTTGTGTTTTGCAACATTTATAAACACCTACAAAAGCAAGGAAATTCCTTAAAATGATGTGCATGAAAACCAAGGAGATGTAAATAAATAGGGAGCTTTTGAAGTTCAAGATATATTCCCTCCACACCCTTCCCTACAACACCACTCCTATTTCTCTCCTTAAACAAATTCTATCCTTAGAATGAATTCATGCTGTGCTTCAGCAAGTATTTAAAGAAATACAAGCAAAACATTAATATCTATCCTCCCACCTTAACACACACAAAACTAAATGCCTTCTCCTTGCAACAAAAACTGCCCACTGGAAGACTGTACTAAATAGCTTGGATATCATCAAAGACCAACATTGTTCAGCTACATTCCAGGAACCGCCAAGCAAAAACCTGCTTTGAGCGGATTTCAAACCACAGTCGCTATAATGATGCAGAAGTCCCTGAAGGTGCTCCTGGGTAAGTAATGCAATGTCAACATGTTAAATTAATCTTGCTGTCTGGGCATAAAAAAAGAAGTTGTTCTAAATGAATATGAGGCAATAAACACCCCAGTTCCCTAGGGACACTACTACAAGGAAAGCCAATTCCTCAATGTTCAACAAAATAAATTTATCAAATTGCATGAACTGTACAAATATTTGGTCTAATAAAAATCAAAAGAGCTTCACTGAGACAATCTACACTTCCAGAATAATTATGGGATACTGCCTTATAAGGACTGTGCCATTTTGGCCTGTAGATTGGGGCGGGGGGGGGGGTCACATTCTTATTTGCTGCCTCCGTTTTGAAAATTCTATGCAAGCTTCTAAAACACACATACACAAAACCCCTAGTACATCAATGAAAAAGGCCTAGCTCCCTCCTGAATGCACCAGTTTCCTACGCACCAAAATTTTTATATAAAAATGCATTTAAGCATGCAATGTCCTCCTACTAACCGGGCCTTAATTTTCACTCACCCTGTTCATTCTAAAGCCCTATTAATTCATTCAAAAGGATGTGCAGGACATGCATGTGCTGGCAGCCACTCCCCAATGCTCCAGTACACACCAGGCACACCCTCTCCTCCCCAAACCCCAAACCCTTCCCGTGTCAAGCTCTGAAGGGGCTTGCAAGCATGCACACACAACCTCCCTTCAGCATCAAGGGTGGAGCAGACATACACCTGCTCCCTTCTACCTCATTTAAGGCCTCATACATTCAAAGGAACACATGAATAGTCTAATTAACTTCCTATAGAACTTTGCGTTCAGCCCCCTCAAACTTGAGCTGTATACAGACATTATACTCACAAGTGAACATATGAGACACGTCTGCTAGCACCAGCACCCCTGTCGTCCTACGCAAGTTGGAAGGAAAGCATCTCCAGCAGGGAGATGTAGGCTCAAAGTAGCGCAGCATTCTCCAGGCAGTCTCCATGACGACAAGAGGCTCCCTGCTGCAGACAACCGTCCTCACCTGATGGCGAGGATGCTCATCCACCATCTCACCCCCCTTGCATGTCCTACTGAAGAGCATAATGCCCGAATAAGGCTTCTAGGATCCATCAACCTACATTCTTTATGTACATCAACTTTCCTCGAGCATAGTGCCTTCCAGATGTGATGCTGGGATTCCCAACTCCCATCATTCCCAACCACTGGCTAGACTAGCTGGGGACAATGGGACATTTTAGTCCAACATCACCTGGAGGGCAACAAGTTGGGGAAGGCTGGTGTGCATCACATTGCTGCGATGTTCCCTAGGTTCCTCGCAAGAGCCGGTCGATAGGTGGTAACTCAAGTCAGTTTCTGCACTACTCCGCTGAGTCCTGGCTTCCCTTAAAAATAGCACCTACTGACTTCCAGAGAAGTCTCAACTGCATCCACACAAGTCAGGTGGGTTGTGATGTATTTACCTTAGAACCCACCCAGACCAGAATGTGGGCACTTAAAACATAAAAGTGTATGTAATTGCTCCTGAACAGGAAGTTGTTAGAGACAACAGTCTTATAGTTCTCGCTTCCTGGCCTAACGTATTGCCTGATCTCTTTTTACATATGCTTTCATTATCCCTTTCATCTTGCTTCCTCTCTGCCTGCCTCACAGCCTCCCACTCCCCACTTTGCCACCAACACCCTCAATCTGACACACACAGCGAACTCCACCCAACACTTCCCTGCTCTTATTATTCCACTCACTCTTCTATCAAGGTTATATTTTATCTTTCGCAAGTTATTTCCTCCATAATAAAGCACACAGACACAAGGCCCTGGGCTCTGCATTCTGAAAGTGGGTGAGGCAAGAACTTGCAGCTGCCAGAAGCAAGGCCTTCGCAGCACTTGCTCTCCAGCCTGGTGATGGAAGGGAAGATGGGATACAAATGCAATAAACGGGTTCAAAATCTCTACATGCTTTTACAAAGCTGAAAGGCACTCCCGGCTTTAATTGTGTTGCAGAAAACGAAGCACTGGCAATTTCTGTGTTTTCTGGCTTGATTTTAACTACTATCCTACTTTTCTTCTTTTTTTGTAAGCAGCTTCGAGTTTCAGAAAAGCAGCATAGCAACATTTTAAGCAATCAATCAATCAGATGTATGCATAGTGATAAATGTTCGTTCACATGTGATCTGTCCCCTTGTCAGGTGGTCCCTTTGTGGATTCTGAGAGCACTAATTATCTAAGAGGAAAAGAGGAATCGTTTCACATTAAGTCTCCCCAACTCTTCAAATTGCTGGTCAGGAGGCAAAAACGAGAGCTTGCTTATGTGAAATCAATCCAACAGAGGAAGCCAAACACAAATCTCCTTTTTGCTGGAACAGAAACTAAAGCTAACAGGGGGATTTCCACAGAAAGATTGGAGCAACAAGAAACTGTGGCCCAATCTAAACACCTGTAAGCCTACTTAAATGGGTTCAGATTACAGCCTTGTTATTTTCCTAGTGAGAGTGCTCCTTCACTCACTATCCGAGCCTGAGTCTGTTACAGAGTCCTCCTTATCCAAATATATTGCGCATTTCCTATTACAACATAGTAACTTGCACAAAGCGCTTTGAACTCTCAAAAAGGAAACTGCAGCTATAAACAGGGTATGAAATACAGTTTTTCACAGATCCTACTGTGCATTTTGCACAGTATAATTGGAGCTATGGCACAAAAAATTACCCACCGATGACATAGGAGAGAATTAGGTTCCATCCCGTGATGAAGGCCAGCAGCTCGCCGACGGTCACATAGCTATAGAGATAAGCTGATCCAGTCTTTGGGACTCTGGCACCAAATTCCCCATAGCAAAGTCCAGCCAGCACAGAAGCCAGAGCAGCAATCAGGAAAGAGATGACAATGGCAGGTCCTGCGTTTTCTCGAGCCACTGCCCCAGCAAGAACGTAGACTCCTGCCCCAAGCGTACTGCCTACGCCAAGGGCAACCAAGTCGAAGGTGTTGAGGCATCGCGACAGCCGGCTGGCCTCACTTGAGCAGTCCACCACTTTCCGACGAACCAGCTGCTGCCCAAAACTAACAAGTCCGTTGTAGGCCATCTTCTTGATGAAACCTGGAAGGGTGGGGAGAGGGAAGAAGAGAGAACGTGCAAATAAATCACTTATAAGTACAGTGGTACCTCAGGTTACATATGCTTCAGGTTACAGACTCCGCTAACCCAGAAATAGTAGCTCGGGTTAAGAACTTTGCTTCAGGATAAGAACAGAAATTGTGTTCCGGTGGCGCAAGGCCCCATTAGCTAAAGTGGTGCTTCAGGTTAAGAACAGTTTCAGGTTAAGAACGGACCTCCGGAACGAATTAAGTTCTTAACCCAACATACAACTGTATTTGAACCTTCCAAATGTAAAGGGACTCCTGACCGTTAGGGTCCAGTCGCAAACGACTCTGGGGTTGTGGCGCTCATCTCGCTTTATTGGCTGAGGGAGCCGGCGTACAGCTTCCGGGTCATGTGCCTAGCATGACAAAGCCACTTCTGGTGAACCAGAGCAGCGCACGGAAATGCCATTTACCTACTTGAATTTTGACATGCTTTTGAACTACTAGGTGGGCAGGAGCTGGGACCGAGCAATGGGAGCTCACCCCGTCACGGGGGTTCGAACTGCCGACCTTCCAATCGGCAAGCCCCAGGCTCTGTGGTTTAGACCACAGCACCACCCACGTCTCCTTCAAAGTGGTATTATGCAGAAATAGCTTTGTCCATACGCCATCATGCATAAAACAGGATATGCACAACCACAGAAGTCAGTCCATTGGTCCATTTAGCTCAGTACTGCCTACACTGACTGGCAGTAGCTCTCCGGGGCTCCCAGTCCCATCTGGAGATGCCAGGGACTGAACCAGGCCACATTCTGCACAAACTCCAATTTCCAGATTACTTTCACAGGCAGAAAGTGCATCACCCAAACATGAAGTTACCAGAGCATAAGTCACCATGGCTAGGCTATCTCTGTCCAGCAACAACCATAGCTACTCCATGCCACTCAAGGTCACCTGGGCCTCCAGGGACAAAGCTGGATCAAGGAGTATCCCCTGACTAAACTACCTGGTCTTTCAGGGGGAATGTAGCCCCATCCAGAACAAGTTGCCTATTCAATTCCCAGGCCCAAGTACCACCCAGGCACCGGACCTCTGCCTTGTCAGGATTCAGCCTCAGTGACGAAAGAGAAAAATTTATGGCTTTCAAACAAAACTGCATTTGATGTTTTGCTTTCCGTCACATTGAGAAGCATGCTTTTTTGCCAAATAGTAACCAGTCTCACTTCTGGGAAGTTCTGGGCACTTAGCCCACAACCCAACACATCTAGCTCTGTGCTGAACTGCAGTCCTTGTCTTCAAACAAATGATCTTGCTTAGTTAGGGTCAGGCAATGCTCTGTAACTTATGTGCGCACACAAACCAGCTGCAGAAAGCTGCTACCTGGACAAAGGATTACATTGGGAGACAGTATGCTTCTGAGTACCAGTCACTAGAAACTGCAGGAGGGGAAAGTGTTCTGGAGCTCACATCTTACTTGCTGGTTTCCCACTGGTGTCTAAATTGCTCTTCCAACCTAAAAGTTTGAATGCCTAGTAATTTTCAGAAGCAGAAGAAGAGTAGGAGCAAGATCTAGAGAGGACTAGAGTGGTTTTTCTGTGCTCTGCATAGCCTTTTGGCCTTCCCCATGTCTAGTAGAAGAATGCTAATATGGAACTATGTGGATTTAATTAAGCTTTTCTTCTTGCAGAATTTGGGTTATGTTAGTGCCTTTAAAAAATGCAGACATCAAATTGTGAGAAATCAGGAAGGGTGAGGCTAGACTGCCAGTTCTGAGTCCCAGTGACATCGTAGGACTTTGAGACCTGTTGATTACTCCTTCATTCAAAACAAGCACAAATCCTAACTTTTCATCTTCTTTTCTAGCAACAGCAGATATTTTTTGCAGGGAGGGAATCTGACCTTCAACAAAGATAAATGATTTTTTTCTTTAATGTAGATTCCTCAGTGAAGAGGTGACTAACTTTTTTCCTAGCTAGGAAATTCCCCCCTGCATGCTCCCCTCTTACAATCAAGAATGGGGAAGCAATTGTTTTTCCAAGAAGTGGGTTACTTTGAAATGCTGCTTATTTAAAACAAGCTGTTCCTGCATATGCAGGGGTCAGATATTCCAACCATGTGAACCAGATAGATAGAGAGATATAGATTAGATATAGCATATCCATTTATTGAATCCAGAAAGCACATTTGATTGGCTCATTAACATGCCCCCACGGCTACAAGCTCAGCCTGTTCTGCCTAGCCAGATGAATATCTGGTGATATTCATCACCAGAATGTACCTGTATGGGTTGAATAGCTTCAGCCAGCCATATATACACATCAGGGGGTGCGGGTGGCACTGTGGTCTAAACCACTGAGCCTCTTGGGCTTGCCTATCAGAAGGTCGGCAGCTCAAATCTGCACAACGAGGTGAGCTCCCATTGCTCTGTCCCAGCTCCTGCCAACCTAGCAGTTCAAAAGCATGCCAGTGCAAATAGATAAAAAGGAACTGCTGCGACGGGAAGGTAAACGGCGTTTCCGTGTGCTCTGGCTTCGTCACGGTGTTCCGTTGCGCCAGAAGTGGTTTAGTCATGCTGGTCACATGACCTGGAAAGCTGTCTGTGGACAAACACCAGTTCCCTCGGCCTGAAAGAGAGGTGAACACCGCAACCCCATGGTCGCCTTTGACTGGACTTAACCGTCCAGGGGTCCTTTACCTTTAACGTTTTTTACATTTACATGAAACCAACAGAAGCAAGGAACGTTATCTCTGCAGTGTCCTGCTGACTTAAATGCACTAAGATGTAAATTTCCTGTAGGAACAACATTCTGTTTATATGTATTTCACATTTCCTGAGGTACTTGCACTATGCTGAACGACACTGTACGTACAATAGATACTGTTTTCTTCAATACCTATGGGCATCTTTTGCCTCTCCCTCTCTCCAGTTAGAATGCTCAGCATTCATCCTTCCCTCCCTTCAGGTTTAAGCCAACCATTTATAACTATTCTGACCACATTCTTCTTTGAACAGGACCTCCCCAGCAGCTCTGCAGCGATTGCAACAAACCGCTCAAATTGCATCATCACTGAATGCCTCTTTCCTGCAGTGCTGGCAAATAGGCTTGAGTGACAGGCTGTGTGTGTGTGTGTGTGTGTGTGTGTGTGTGTGAGCTGTGCACATGTACCCACGCACCTTAATTTTAATGGTATTTCAGTAAGTGACAATATCAGAACTGAACAGCTTGTCAATAGAAAGCATTGGCATGGCAGCATCACCCACACACTTATTCGCCTTCAGACACTAATGTCAGTCATTTTATTTTTTTTAAAAAGTGGGTGGGTATTGAGCCCAGAGTGGGTACTGACTCTTGCGATATATGTACACCTATTAATGAAAAGGCAATACAACTTACGTCGCTTGCATAACAGCTAAAATTATTGAATGGGGGGAGGGAATTCTTCAATAACCATATGAGAAATACTGCTTATAATAAAACTTTCATAATTTTCACAAGAGCAAAAGCACATTCACCATGCTGTTCTACAAAGGGTCACAACGGTCAGGACCTAACAGCTACATTCACAATATATACATTAGACTTGATGTGGCTATGGAGCTACTGGTGTTGCTGGACTACAAATCCCATCTTCCCTGACTATTGTTAATACTGGGTGGGGCTGATGGGAGTTGGAGTCCCATAAGATCTGGCAGGCCAAAATTACCCCACACCTGATTTGTGGCTTTAATTTGCTGAAGATGCTCAAGACCCTGGCTTCAAAAGGACCTGCACAAAGGAGATGATCATATGCAGTATATTCCTATATTAAAATCACATTTCCAAATCCTATACAAAAAAGAACTGAAGCTTTATAAATGCTGGACTCAGAAAGGAATATTATCATCTATTGAAAAAGTGACTCATAACTGCTGCCTCACTCATACATAATTGAATGTGCACTGGTAGCTAATCGTTCTAGTAGAAAATTAGGAATGTATATTCACAGAACCACAGAGTTGGAAGGGACCCTGACGATCATCTAGTCCAACCCCCTGCAATGCAAGAATATGCAGCTGTCCCACACAGGGATTGAGCGTTATCAGCACCACACTCTAACCAAATTAACTATCATCTTTCAGATAGTTACCAATTATTCTGTATGAAGAAAAACAAGTTTAAGTTTAGCGGACTCAGAGGGACCTGCGGCCAATACCAGCTCTAAGATACATTCCCAGAGGACACACTTTTTCAAACACCTGTTTGTCGCCTTCACATTTCATGTGTAAAAATGCATTATATAAAGAGGCCCTCAGAAAAAGCAAGTACTGAGAATACTGATTCATATCTCCGATATTTAGTGATTAGTGTCTTCAGGCTACACATTCTAAACCTATAGTGAAATCTGGGGGATCATTCTGGAACAGATGGTTTTGGAATTTAATCTGAGACTCTTAATTTGTACCACTACTGTGGGTTACAAAGAAAATCTAAAAGGTGGAGACCCCACGCAAGAGCACAGAGTTAAAACTGTGTAACTCCCAGGTTACCCTTTTATAGGAAGTGGTCTTTAATCTACACCATCACAAGGAAGTGTACTTTCAACAAAATCCCTGCCACATTTGATACACGGTGCATATCGTTCTTAGCTAAATAAGCTGACGATTGTGCATCTGAATAAGGCTGTTGTCTTTAATGCATAGGAGGTGGCTTCATTTTCTTTGTGGGCTGCAATTTTCTAAAAGAGAAAGAAATAAAAGGCAGGCACAATCTGTGGGGTTGATTCAGAAGGCTCAGTAAAAGTGGAAAGAATTCTCAGTCAAAATGGAATGTTCAGATCTTCTAACAACAAAGGTCTTATGCATCCTGCTTTCTAGACATAATGAGTGTATATATTTGTGAGCGTGCAAGAGAGGGACATAAAACACAAGTATCCACACCCTAGCAATTTTCACTTTCCTTCTTAAAACCTTGGAAATGCAAGGTTTCTCTCTCTCCGGCTCCCCCCGCTCTTCTTTAAATACATAAATTTATATTT